CTGATCTGTTCGGTACGACATCTATTGCACGTCTGTCCGTCCTGGAAGAGGGATCCCTCCTCAGTTGCTCTTCCTGAGGTTTCTACCGTTTTTTTCCCCCGTTAAAGGGTTTTTTTTGGGGGAGTTTTTCCTTATCTGCTGCGAGGGTCATAAGGACAGAGGGATGTTGTATGCTGTAAAGCCCTGTGAGGCAAATTGTGATTTGTGATATTGGGCTTTATAAATAAAATTGATTGATTGATTGATTGATAAACTTTAGTAGTGTCACACAGACTTGATTTGAAACATAAAGAAATCTGGCATGTGAAGCATAATTACATTACTCAGGAGTTTTCAAAGCTAGTTGATGGAAAGTCTTACAGAATGAAATATTTCAACTTTGTTTTTTTTGCTATAGTGGTCTATAGTAAATGCCCCAACTGACCACCAATGTCAATGTAAATGTTGATATGTGGTTGAATTTAGGTTGTGACTTTGAGTGACCAGGATAATGCCAACATTAATTTGACATAGAATACTGACGACAGATGACGTTAATATTTTGTTGTTTTAGGTTGTGTTGTTAAGTAACCAAAATTCAGCATCTTTCAAATGTCTTATGCCATCGTCTTGACCTTGAATAACAACATATATTCATTAGGGATGAAGATCAAAACCCAACATCTGCAAAACATCACAATGTTTACGTCCACAGAACATGAAATTCTTATGTTGTTAGGCATTTTAATTATCGTCAACCTGATTTTCACTCCAGTGAAAACTTGCGTCTGTCTGTCATGAGAGTCCAGCGTCTTTCTAACATCATATTGATGTATGGGGCCAGCTGGGACAATAGATAACTGTTTATATTCTTTAGTGCTTTCATAGCCCTACCATAACCAGAGTTTATTTGCAGTAACCACCATCTTTCTGTAACTTTGAACATACCATAGTTGACATGCAGATATTGTAGAAAGCAGATATGACTTCAGACGTAAAAATAAATAGATAAATAAACATTGTCATTACTCGTAATCCAGAGTGTTTTGCAAAATTGTTCAATATGGATGTTCTTGTCAAGGAACGGGGTTAGGATGCTAACAGTGGTGGTACGTAACTAAGTACATTTACTCAACTAGCACACATTTGAAGTACTTTACTTGAGTATTTCCATTTTATGCACCTTACACTAATATTCCACTACATCTCAGAGTCAAAAAATGTCCTTCTTATCCTACTTTTTAAGATCAATAAACTATTTAAAAACCCTCTATGATCAGTTGGAAAATGCATCACAAAGCTGAAAACAAGGCTGTTCTTCTGACACCATGGAAAGCTGATTTTTTTTAGAGACATGTGGTTCTCACAGTGCAGCCAAGTAACAACCATATGATGATTTTATAGAATATGATGAATTGCTGTAGATTAAAGTACCCAAAGTAGCTGAGTGAGCAAAACCTTAAACATCTACAGCAGCAAAATACAACATACACATAAATGCAGCAGTAAAATGAATCCAAAAACATCATGTATAATAGTAAAACACTGACATGAAACATTTACTGCGCAAAGAGTACTTTTCATACCATAAGTATAATTTGCTGATAATACTTACGTACTTTTACTTAGTGTGGTATTATTACTTTTACTCATATACAGGATCTGAGTACTTCCTCCATCACTGGATACTGCCAGTATGAGTCACTAAAGTCAGATTTTTTAAATAAAATGACAGCTGTAAATTAGTCCTGCATGATATGAGGAAAATATGGGATAATGTTAAATATCACGATACTTGCGATAAATTAAGATATTAAAGTATACTCATTTTTCTCCTGCTTTCAGTATACTGCTAAAATACCACCAATTGCATGTTGATTAAGAAAAAATAAATTATTTCTAACATTTTATTGAACTAACTGAACATTGAGCTGAACACAAAAGGCAGCAATAAACATCTCAAAGGGCAGTTTTCTACCGATTCTCTCTCTTGACTTTAGTGCAAATGTCACAATCTTTCTGATGTGTTTATTGCACAGGTTGACATCCCAATGACAATAAAGAAATAATATCGTGCAGCTGTATTGCAAATGTTTCTGTAAGCTCAGTTTATTCGTGCAGCAGCGCTCTGTGCTGTTGTTACTGCTGACTGCTGCTCAGGACACACGTTTGATTAGATTTCTTATCAGAGACCACACCCAAGACAACATATATAAACAGAGGGTGAATCCCGTCCCCCCTAAAATTAAATCAGAGCACAATATGTTTATTACTTTTTATCCCATATGACTGAGCTATCTAAATGCCTGTTTAGGTTTGAAACATGACACACATGCTGTGAGTTCAATATATGGAACAGATATCCTGGCCTGACACTGTCCAAGAAGCATGATTGAATTTATGGCCCCTTGGGGAATTCTCCGAGAACCAGAAGGATCAATCGCTAATGGTAACATCTGGCTGATGGTTAGGATTACTGATACAGTCCAGTTCAAAATCCTTGACCTGTATGTTTTTGCATGTGTGTGTTTGCCTGACATACATGCTGTAAATTACAGTGTAGAAATGAAAATATAGTCTCAACGCTGATAAGAAACCTTGGGCAGACTGGAGCAGGATCTGGGGAAAGAATAGAAATGAGATGTGCTCTGAGTAGAGAGCGTGAGACAGGGGGTGAGACAGAGGGGGGAGGGAGAGAGAGGAGAGAGTTACTGACCATAAAGCAGGTTGATTAGATTACAGAGCTAAGACTAACATGGGCCATTTATTACACAGAGAGTCAGAGCTCTGCAGGAGCAGCCATGCAGACCCACAGGGAGGAAAATCAAATGTGTAAGTGTGCGTTTGTGAATGGCAGACTGTTGAAGAGATAACTATACCCATCACTACAGTGTGCTCCAGATGCTCCATCAGGAAGAGGAAACCCAAATATCATGGAGACCCAAAACTGAATTAGAACAGTTCAAAATAAAGGCCACTGGTTGATGTGAAACTGTGTGTGTCTGACAGAGAAGCAAATATTACATTATGTGTTATATTTGTTGGGTATTATGTTTCATACAAGAAGGAATAAATGGACGGGATTAAAGGTTTCAAGCATCACAGAGGACACAAAGGGAAGACAGTGCCACACCCAGTTGACACAGAGCATGCTCAGCATTACGTCAACTTTATATGAAAGTGGTAGCCTGTCTACGGTCCTCAATTAAAATGACTACACACACACACACACACACACACACACACACACACACACACTGCCTCACAGATTATCACCAACACTAATGTTACATTTTTATCCAACATTTGAAGCCTACCAGAACATGGACAGTGGAAACCACAGTAATATATGGAAAAGTGCTTATCGATCTTGCTGCCTGCCTTGTCATTTTGAGTTGGGGCTTAAAGTCCGGCTCAGTGGTTGATTTAGTCAAGTTAAAATGTTTAACCACATATCATAACTTACAGTAAAGCCTTGAGTCCTTGCACTTTGTTGTTTTATCAGCCCTGCAACTAGGACTCACACATCTCTACAGAGAAACTAACAGATACACTATTGATTGCATCACAGCATTTTTTGTCCCTAAAGATCAATTATAACACCATCTGTCAAGAGAAAAATATATTATTTTCTGAGCATAAGGTGCTATAGGGTTGTAAGTTTGACATTGTGAATACTGACTAGACAAAGGAGCATCATTCTCAAGCATTGACTCTGCTCGGTTGGCTAATTAAATGATTGCTTTCAAAGTTATATTAAACTCAAAACAATAAAAAAAGATAATATCTGCTAAACTCATTTGTGCTAAATAATTGTGATTGTTGCTAAAAAAAAAACAGCCACTTTTCTTTGACCTTTGTCACCCTTAAAGGTGCAATGTAGACTAGGGTAGAAAACCCCTGCATCACATACATTAAATCAAACAGCAAACTGCCTCAATTGGTTAGTTTTTAGCCGCCTAAAAATAGCTCATCTAGATAAATCAATATCAGTTTAAGTGTGTGCTATATTTAGAATATTTTCACCACTTTATCTTGCTGTCAGACAGCGATATCGGACAGGAAATTGAAGCCGCTATCTCAAAGCTACCAGACTAAAACAATACTTTTACTCAGCAGAACAGGAGTTGCTAGTCTACTGCTGCCTCCACCAGTTAGTGTGTGAAGGTAAAGCTGAGACAATATTCCAAAGTAGTGTACACATATGCTAATATTGATTGAAGTGTCATCCGACGTGTTGCTGACGTGTCATTTATCAGCTGGCCGGCCCAGCAGATTCTGATAGGTGTGTTGGGCCGGCCAGCTGATAAATGAATTATTGATTATTGAATTTCCCCTTGGGGATGAATAAAGTTATTCTTATTAGTTATTCTTAAATGACACGTCAGCAACACGTCTGATGACACTTCTGAGGAAGACTGGACTCACAGTCGAAACTGTCAAGCAGGTAAATTGAAATGTTTCAGTTACAGCTGAAAATGACAACAGACATAAGCAGGTCTGCGGATTTCATAAATCTCCACGAGTCAAATCAATTGCCAGTTCTCTGACCGGAAGTGATTGTTGTTGTTAGCGCAACAGCATGACGATTTGGTCTATACAACATTCCAAAACCTGGGCCAGGATTACCTGCACACGGTTGAGATGAAATGGCAGAAATTCGGAGTGCTAGACACATGAACTGTGCAAACAGCGCTAATGGTGCTAACAACAGCAACAAGGATAACAGAGCCAACAGTGTTAATGTATGGGCAAACATAGGGTAGACCTTTGGATGCCACTGTCCCGCCACTGTGGGTTATCAGCATTAACTGCCGTATGAGCGCAATGCAGAGTGGCGGAAACTAGCTATCCAGTGGAACATGAAGTGAGGGACTCATAGTACTAACATGCATGCTTGACTCGCCCAGCTACTACAACAAAGAACAGAGAAGCTTGGATTACAACACACACAGAGGGAGCGTGCCTTCATTCTCTGCTCAGAACACCATCACTCTGCTGTATCTTTGAAAAGCAAATAGCAGTTTGCTGACTGTATTGATGTTCAAAATTTCATATATTGAACCTTTAACTCTTGATTCAGACTTTGCCAGAAAGCCTTTTTTCACAAGAAATACTGACAGTTATTTGACAACTCTTACTTGAACAGGGATTACTGGATGTAGTGCATTTCAAAAGGATAGAATTACTGCAGAGTCATGGCTCTGCCCCAGACGCCAGAATATCAATAAAGTGTTCCATTACTGTAAAAGGAGAGATAGACAGAGAGGAGAGAGGAAGGGAGACAGATGGAGGGGGAAAAAGAATTAAATCAATGTATCCACGTGATTCAATTTAGGCTACAATTTCACAGTTTCTTACTGAGAACCAGGTAACAGAATCCTTGACACATACATTGGATAGTAAATTTAAGAACATTAAGTGTCCAAGTGGGAGCGAAATCATATATAGAAATCATGTGGAGAAATAAGAATCGAAAGTGACTGACTGAGGAAGAACCAGTGGACAAGTGTCAATGGGGACATGCATCAGAGAGGTGAGGAGGGGTGGGGCGTGAGGAGACATCTTTAGATATCGAAGCAGTACTATGGATGCCGGTCTGGCCTCCTGCCAAGAGCTCTGGTAAAAAGGGTGGAGCTGTCGAGACAGAGAGAAAGACAGAGAGAGGCAAGGTCTATCTCTGAAGGGTAGGGAGTGGCCGAAGCTTGTATGCTGATGAGTGATTGAGAAAGGAAGGGTTCATGTGGGTGGGATGAGGAAAAATGAGGGAGGGGCCGGCATGAGGATGATGGGATAGCTAGCCTGTGTGCATAAAAACCCCGGGCACTCTTCAGTCTGATGTCCTGTTGCTTCACGAGCATCTCCAAGCCTCAAGCTCTACCTTTTCTCCACAGCGACAGAGAACAGAAAGATAACAACCATGAGCCACTCTTCAATGCATACCTCAACTTCCTACAGGCGCACCTTCGGGGGCCCACACCTCATCTCCATGTCCTCTTACTCCCCTGTATCCTCCCGTATGCCTGTCTCTTCAGGGGGGCGCTACGTGCGTTCAATGTCACCTGTGGTTTCATCCCGTTCCACCACCTACCACCAACAGCGTTCTCGCGGCGGTGCCCAGCCCCCTCGCCTCTCCTACGACAAGGTGGACTTCACCCTGTCTGAAGCCATTAACCAGGAGTTCCTGACCACCCGCAGCAATGAGAAGGCTGAGCTGCAGGAGCTCAATGACCGCTTCGCCAGCTTCATCGAGAAGGTGCGTTACCTGGAGCAGCAGAATGGTGCGATGCAGCAGGAGCTGAACCAGTTCAAGGGCCAGCAGCAGCAAGGTCAGCCCAACCGCGCCTCTGAGCTCTTTCAGGAGGAGGTGAGGGACCTGCGCCGCCAACTGGATGCCTGTGGAAAGGAGAGGGACCAGTACCTACTGGAGAGGGACAACCTGGCTGAGGACCTGTCCCTGCTCAAGCAGAGGTTGGTAACAAGATGATAAGAAACAAAAAATGTATGATGCATGACAACACAAGACAGACAGACAAACAGACAGATAGAAAAATTTGAGCATCAAACACTTAATTTCCTGCATTCTGGTGAATTTTTATGCACCACTTTGTGCCTTTTCTGTATCAAGTCATGGTGCAAATATCTTTAGTTTGATAAGATTAAAATCCTCTGCTACTTTGTTTTATATATTGAGGAGGATGTGCCTTCTGCGTCCCCCCAGAAATCTGCCCCTATGCATAGATAGATCGATAGATAGATAGATAGACAGACAGACAGATAGATAGATAGATAGATAGATAGATAGATAGATAGAGCCACTGATGAAGTTGCATCCAACGAAGGCAAAGGTCAAACCCTCTTTCCTCCAGTCTTTCCCTGTGTTGTGCCTGTCAATTGTACGTTGAGCTGTTGGGGTGGGCTACTGTACTTACCACCAGTGCCACCCTTGCATTATTCATTGACACTGTTATAATTTATTGCCCATAGTCCACTTAAAGCACAGAGAAGGTGGAGAGTCCCTAGGCGTTTGCAACTTGAGTCCCCTAATGATGGTGGAGTAGGGCGTGGCACATGAGCAAACTGGACACAACAGAGCATCAGCATGATGCAGGACACTGCGCTGCATCTTGTTCATGTATGAGTGTATATGTTTACTGAATGTCTTGTGCACTAGCAGGATTCAACAGAAAACAAGGAGAAGAGCCTCAGTCTATGACAGCAAAGTGACCCACAATAAACTATGACACAGTTTTGGATGCCACATTACATAAGGATGTGTTTCGTGATACCCCTTTAAATAATGCAAATTTATTGACACACATGGTAATGTATGCACACACTGAGAGGAGAGAAGAAAGGAGGAGGATGGATGGATGGACCAGATACAGGGTGGGGTCGACTGAGGAGCGGGGAGGGGAGAGAGGAAATAGGACCAGAGAAGGAGAGGTTGGATATCAGGCGTGGTGAGAACAGCGTCAGGAAAAATCAATGTGACTCAATGACTCCATTAGGTGTGTTTTCAGTGTCCCTCTGTGCTGATGGGATGGTGCCAGAGACCCCATTAGGACAAAAGGACCCCTGTAACACAACATGAATTAAAGATGAGGAAGCACGGCCGACTGTGTGATGCTTTCCCCACTAATCTACTTTATGTCCAGTGTGGACATGACTTCTGTCTGACAGGACAGATGGAGCTCATCAGTCAGAAAGTGTGAGCAGAGAACAAGTAAACATTGGTATTGTACATTTGATATCATTTGCAATGACTATAAATGAGTTTGCATTGTGAAACATATTTTTTCATTTCATTTTATTCCTTTTTGCAGGAGCATCGACAGACATTTTGACTGACGACAATCCACAAATGTCTCACTTTGTATGCATATCCCACATGATGCAGATTTCATATCGCTGCCCTGAAAATGGCCTGTCTCTGTACACTAGCCAATGTTAAAAATGGCCATTTAAAATCTTTAAAAAGATCAGAAGTGTGTGTACGTAATCTTATTGAGTGTGTGCAGATGAACTCATTGAACTGTGGGGAAATCACATTAGCTGAAAGCAGCAGCTGCTGATCCCACTGGGCGCACTCCAAACCCCTTTTTACAGGACAGTGAATTAACAAATTGATCCAGAAAGCTTTTTGCCAGCTGATGCCCCAGTGTAACCTTAGACAGAAAGAGTGTTTTTGGACAAGTTCGACATGTTCTTCACTCTCAACCTTTTCGTGAAAAGGACATTATTGGAGCCTGGAGGAAATCTGTACACTGTTTGAAACATTTTGTCTCTTTTGTCCTTAAGGTTGGACGAGGAAACCCAGAAGAGGGCAGATGCTGAGAACAACCTGGTTGCCTTCCGCAAGGTAAACACTCAGCTCACTCGACCATGATAACCTTATTGATTACAGTGTCCTCTGGCTCAGATAACAGGTCAAAATGGACAGCTCTGCTCCATCCCCAACACAAAATAGTTGCACAGTAATATGACAGGGCAGGTTTCTGAAATATCATTGATCTAGACCAGTGATACTTAACCTGTGGCCCTTGGGCGACATCTGGCCAATGATAAGGTACTGGGTGGCCCACCGACTATTTTCTTATTCACAGTGAAAATAAATTGATTTACATTGGAATTTTTTTTGGTACTTGAAAGTAAATAATATGACTGGACAGGATCCCGCAACCTCCCAAAATAGGTCCAGGCTAATCTTTGATATATCAGTTATTAATGTTTGTTTATTAATTGGCCTTTGGTCTCCTGTCATTTTGCAAAAGAGGCCCGTGTGCAAAGCAAGTTGAGTATCCCTGATCTGATTTTTTTTCTTTCTGCACTTGTTGCCCGGTTCACACTATACGATAGCCCGATTCTAGCCCAACACAGCCTTGTAAAGTGACGGCTTGGATGGTGAACGACAACAAATGTTGTACGTGATAATCCATCGTTTCATCTCATGTAGTGTGTCATAGTAGACAGCAACCGCACCACATCTGGGACGCCTCACAACGTTCCAACAGAAAGTCCAGCATGTTGTATTTTCTTTTTGTCTTTCACGACTTCTCCCGTCACAGCCGTCACTTTGACCAATAGGAACACAGAGTGACCTGCTGCTCTAGACAACTGTACATCAACAAGATCCCAGCTTTTTAGATATTCCCTCCAGGGACAACCACACAGAGTAAAAAGGGAAAAATGATGGTGTGAAACAGCAGAGACACGTTAGCAACCCGGTGAGTACTGCCATTAGCATCAAGCTAGCAAAGAATGTTACTTCTTCATAATGGAGATGGACAAAAAGTAAGAATACAAAAATAGTGGCTTTTACTCACCACAACTGCAGAGGCTGCCAGCTTCATTTGAAACAGACTTAATTATAAACGCGCCGTTATTAATTATTCCTTCTGCATTTTTATATTTTTACTTTTAATCCGCTCCCGTTGCCTTGATAAAGTTAATGCATTGGGCCATAATTTCAAAGTCAACACTTCCTGTATCTGTTTCAAATTAAAAGCCCCTTATAACTTCGGTCGAGAGAATCCCTTCATTTTCTAAATAGGCTTTTATTGTGAAACATTTGCAGGAACTTGTGGAAGATTCAGTGACTTGCATGTTTGCACACGGTACTTCAAATGTAGCTCCTGCCATCTGGTGGCACTTTTTACTTAACTACAATAACATCTCATCTCATCTCAGGGATAATGGGTGTAGACCATCGTGTAGTCTGGCATATCTGTCAGCCAAGTCACAGCACGATTTTATGACTCCACAATCGTATAATCTGACATAGTGACTGTTGGAACGGACAGAAGTGTCATGTAGTGTGAACCAGGCATAAGCCTGCAAGTAATTTATACGAATTAAACAACAATCATATGTATTTTAACTGTTGTTGAGTGGCTTGACTTTTTGTCCTTTAAATGTTTTTCATATTTCCAAATATTTCCATGCACTAAAGGATACTTGCGATGACATTTTTATAATCTCAGAATAGATGGAAGTATATTTATAATGATGAGGTGTTTCAGCCATGGAGAACATATTGCAGTTATGGAAGCATAAACTATGTTTGTCTCATATAAAAATTAGGATGTGGATGATGCCACATTGTCCCGTCTGGAGCTGGAGAGGAAGATCGAGTCTCTGGTGGATGAGATTGAATTCCTCAAGAAGCTCCATGATGAAGTAAGTGATGCTACCTGCTCTGCACTTTTCCAGCTTGTATACATGGAAAAGTCCTTTCTTACAAGAATCGCCTATCACAGAGCATAATTTTATATGCTGGACTAACAAGCTTTAACTTATTCTCTGTTAAATGCAACATTTATTGTCCTTAATAAGCATTAGTTTTTGTAATATGAGTTTATTATTTCATTTTATTTCATGTTGAACAAGGAGAGGGTGGATACTATGGAACTTTGACAACTTTAGACAAAAGAGCAAAGTGTGTTTAGAGGGTACACTAAACACTAAAAAGGTGTCAGTCTGATATATTTTTGAAAATGTGTGATTTTAGTTTGCATTTAAAGCCTAGCTAAATCTGATGTGAATATCTGTGCCTGGAGCTTGTCTGCAAGAAAAAAACAGCAGTATCTGAAAGGCAAGCAGTTGCTGAATTATAGAAGAAGGAAAAGAACCAATAATATATATACTGAAATATATTTGAATGTCATCTACATAGAGGTGCAATGAAACGTGGTGTTAAGTGATTACATCAAGAGATCCTTGTGAAAATAGTAGGTGTCCCAAAACTAAACCCTGGAGGATACCAGGGTGAGGTGTACAGAGCTAAATTGGCTCCCTACACCTAATGGAAGAATTTTTTTAAAAAATTGTTGGCAAGCTTGCGATATAACAGTTGTATTTCTGACAATATTTTGCCCATATCTTGGTGTTATCAGGAAATTCAGGATGTGCAAGTGAGTGTCCAGACCCAGCAGCTGAAGATGGAGGTGGATAGCACTGCCAGGCCTGACCTAACTGGTGCTCTGAGGGACATCAGGGCTCAGTATGAGACCATTGCCTTGAAGAACATGCAGGAATCTGAGGAGTGGTACAAGTCCAAGGTAGGCAGACAAACACACTGACAGTCACACATGAACATACAAGCATGTATTTATTCTTGTGTGCTTCATCTTTTGTTTCTACAGTTTAATGATCTGACTGAGTCTGCAAAGCGCAACACTGATGCTCTGAGGCAGGCCAAGCAGGAGGCCAACGAGTCCAGGAGGCAGATTCAGTCTCTCAACTGTGAAATTGAAGCACTGAAGAACACGGTGAGGCCAAACACCACCCGTCATTTGTCTCATTAATCTATAATCTATCATTATACATGTTACAGCCTCTTATTGCACTGTATGCACTACTGTGTGTTTCAGAATGAAGCTCTGCTGAGGCAGATGCGTGAAATGGAGGATCAGTTTGGCATTGAGATCGGCAACTACCAGGACAACGTAGGCAGACTGGAGGATGAGATCCGCCACCTCAAGGAGGAGATGGCTCGCCACCTTCGGGAGTACCAGGACCTCCTCAATGTGAAGATGGCTCTGGACATTGAGATTGCTACCTATCGTAAACTGCTGGAGGGGGAGGAGAGCAGGTGAGTTGGGACATACTGTGTCTCAGGTCCAAGTTTTTGTTGTTTTTACAGGATTTTTCCCTTTAATTGCTGTAGATTTCCCCATGCTCAGTGGTACCTCACAGCTAAAAGGACCTAAATTAAATCCTAAATCCTTGTGCTGCTATTGTCAGGATCCTCCAGATACTCCAGTCTTCTCACAAATAAAACTGAATTGACTTTTTTGACATAAAATGTTACTAATTTGTTTCTTACATGGTCTAGTCTTAACTCTATGTCAATTAAAAAACAACCAAACAAACAACTTATCATTACAGATTAGATTGTAACATCCAACTTTTATATTCCCTGTTCAGGATTACTGTTCCCATCCTCAATATTGGGATGAGCAATCACCTTGGTGACCGAGGTAAGCTTTAAGTTTTCGTTTTCCAAAGTAAAATACCACATGTAAGGTCTCAGGAGTCCCTTTACCTTTAAATTATAGAGTTGTGAGTCATGAAGAGCCACACGGTTCTGGAGGTGGTTTTCCCCATTCTGCAATCCCATTTCATTTCCAATTTTCTTTAAGCAATATCTTCAGTATTACTGAACATAGAAATACTTTCTTGGATAATGAAAGAACCCTGTAGATATATGTTAAATCCTTCATTTTTAATTATTTTAACTCGGGAATTATGTGTCGCCTGACAGTATGGAATGAGGCATGGCTCAAGAGGCAAGTCGGAAATGCAAATCAGAGTTGCAAATTCAAAATGTATTGTAGCGACAGTTAGGAACAAAACACCTTGGCACAGTTGCTGAATTCATTGAAAATTCACCCAGGATGTAAAAGTAAATGGATATAAGAAGCCAGTTGTATTATTAATTATCACAGCAGCATACTCTTTAACTTCTGCCCCTTAGCAGTGCAGATAAATGCATTTTAAGCTCAGTGATTGGATGTCATTTTGCGAATTGCATACTGGGAGTCATAAATAAATGTAGACAAAGTTGTACCTTTGATTTTTTTTCAGTCAATGAACCTGATATTTTTTGATGCAGTTGTTGATCTTTTGTAGTATCGATTCAGCCAGGAGGTATTCTTATTTCTAAAACCAGGGTGTCTGAATTTAATCTTTGAAGAGAAAATCTTTTAAAAAGGAGTGCAGAGAAGCAACACTTTTGTTTTGTGATTACAAATGTTTCTTAATCTAAAAATCTCAGCAGAGAGCTTCATTTATTTTGACTTTTCACAGACTATGAACACACAGACTCCACCTCAACCAAGAGGACTGTGGTGATCAAGACAGTTGAGACTAGAGATGGAGAGGTACAATGATTAATATAAAATACAAACTAGCTTGACATATTGATGATTTATTTATATTTTTCAATTTTAATCTCTTTCTTTTCCATCAGGTGGTGAAGGAGTCAAGGAGGGAGAAGGAGAGAGAGTCAGCCCGCACTGACAAGGATGACAATGACGAGTAGAAAAAAAAAATACTGCTAAGAAAATGTGAAGGCCAGAGCCATGAGAGAAAGAGAAAAAACCCCAACAAAACGAGGAATAAATAGAAAAAGCCAAACTCTGATCCATATAGTCCCCATTCCCACTAGTTATGTGTTAAATTGTCTCGCAGAGAGTCTCTCAGTGTTGGTGCAATGTTGAATGAATTCTTTTTAGAGAGTGTCACTTTGGTGCTATTTAAGCCACCCAACTTTTGCTAAACACTTGTGTCATCTGTAGGGCTAAACAAAGCCACTTTATTACCATACCACTTGAGGCCTTCATTTACAGTGCAATCCCGTGGAATCCTTAGACTACCACATGTTTGTAGCAGAGTATTAAACTACAGTACAGGCTGAATTAGAGACTTTAAATGGTGTCGTAGATAGGACTTACTATAAAAACTTTACAAACTACCCTTTGGTCAACATACCTTAAATGACAGATTAAGAATAACTTAACCTATTTGCATTTGTTTCAGAAGCTTTGCAATCCTCTTGTAGCGCAAACCAACCAATCACAAACATGTAACACATAGGAAATGTTGACACTGAAAATTTGACCAACTAAAATCACCAACTTAAAAGACTTATGCTGAATGTGCTTTGCAATGCTGTGTGTATCTGGCACGATTGATGAATGAATATGTAAGTGCAAATAAACTCAATTGGAGCAAATCTGTCTTGTCTGTCCATGTAACTCATTGTGAATGCATTACATATTTGGTTGATGGTTGTTGCTGTTTCATAAAAAAAACACTGTCAATTTGTCAAGCCATTTTAAACCCAAGGGTGAGAACCTTTACCACACATACCATTTCTCAAACATATTTAAAGCAGGTATTTAAAGTACTATTTTGTTTGTGTTTGCCTCATATTATATTCTGGTTGTCTGTACACAGATCAGATTTGTCAACACAGCATGGTTAATTTCTAAAATTGTGTGCTGCTTGATTAGAAAATTTAGAGTAGGCTTCTCTTACCTTTGCATGAGCTGCTATTAAAACTGGTCATCCAACAGATTGCCCAAAGTTCTTCATCTCTACAAGTGTTTTTGGTTATTTTTCTTACAGTGTGAATGGCGGTATTTGGTGGCTCCAGTATGGTGAGATGACACGGATACACCTTTTTGTGTTGAAAAATAAAATAAAATAAAAAATCTAAGTTCTTTTTACACAAAAACAACATGAAGTTTTATGGTACAGTAGAAGGGGGAAGTCATTTTTTCCTGACAGTTTATTCCCTACATTTCCCCTCTCAGGCGACACCTTCGTTCAACCTGCACGTATATTCCACTAAATTCTCATAGTTTGGCGCACACAGACGTCAACGGGGTCCTAATCTTACCTTTTGTGCCTCAACGTGACACCCTCAATTCACTGATTTTGGGTAACCTGGGGTTTTTGGGTGATAAATACAGAAAGGCGCTGCCTGAAATGCCAAACTTAGGGCAAAAAGCTTTCTCTCCGTGACGACATTCTACATCCGCTCCCTGAGTTTTCGCTCGCAGTCTTGGCGCGAGACTTGTCCTACTGTCAAATATTGGTGCAACAGCAGGCTGAAACCAGCGTTATAACTGATGGAAAAGGTCTTCACTTTAGTCACCACCGGCTATTAAACACGGAACCTGTCGAGTAGCGGCGTTCAAACGACCCGGTAAAGTAACGTGTGATATTTTCTTTGTCTGAACAACGATTAAAAAAGTCTGTAAACTGAAGCTAACTGCTGCGGCGGCTACATAACATTAGCAACACGTAGAGAATAACCATCCTGTGGGGGCTCAGCTAGCTAGATACCGTGGCTAATATAACCCCCTGAATAGTTTATTTTATAACAACAGTCAGCGATGCTTATCATGTTACTCAAACTTTAAGGTAAGGGTTAGTCCCCTGGTTAGTCTGCTCTCAAGTGGGTGTCAATAGTTTAATGCCAGAAACAATGCTGGTAGGCTGTTGATAACTAACGTTATACCTAAGAGAAACTACTTAAAAGTGTTCAAAGTCTGAAATCTCCTCTACAAGTAGCAGATGAACCAGGTCAAGATGCACTTAAGTTTACATTTGAAACGTGCTGTGTAGAGTTTATTATTATGTGCAGGATCATGCCCAGTAGCAAATAATGACTTGACTGATCTGGCTCAAAAGATTGACACACAGTAAACACGCTTTTTGAGATGCTCTGTTGACTTTGTTCTGTTGGTCTCTCTGTATCCTACTGTGTAGCTGATCAGACTGAACCTCCACCTTTAAGCTGTCTGATGGTGTAAGGACTTATTCAAGATGGACTGTGAGCTTTTGGCAACATGCAGTGCTCTCGGCTATCTGGAGGGAGACACTTATCACAAAGAGGCTGATTGCTTAGGTGAGTGGTTTTTATGAAAAATATTACAAATATACAATACATTTCCTGCATCATCAGAGGGAAGTAGAATAGGCGATATTGATGACATGGATTTAAAACAGGAAAAGCTCCTGTCCTCTTCTAACTGTCCCGTCTCTGTGTTGCAGAGGGCGTGAAAGACTTGATCAGGTATTTACGCCACGAAGATGACACCCGTGACGTCCGCCAGCAGCTGGGTGCAGGCCAGATCATACAGAATGACCTTTTACCTATTATCATCCAGCATGGAAAAGAAAAGGCCTTATTTGATGCCTGCATCAGGTATAAACTCTAACATGACACTTTTCTATCAAATATTAAATATTTATGAGGTGAACAAATAATCAGTCTGGTAATATATCATATTACAGTCTTCATAATATGTATCATTGACACACCAATGCCGATATTGTAATACATATTGCCCTACTGGTACCAAGTATTGTTTATTTAAATGTATCCTCATTAGATTTACTGACTGATGCTCGTATGACTCTTCTCTGTTTTTCTTCAGGCTCATGGTCAACCTCACTCAGCCTGCCATGCTTTGCTTTGGTAAAGTCCCTGATGACCCAGTGTTTAGACATCACTTCTTGCAAGTTATGTCTCATTTACAAGCCTACAAAGAGGTACTGTGATCTCAGTATAACAGTAATAAGTGATGCCATCACTGTAATAACAACCATAATTTATGTTTAAAATTGAATAATAATACTTAACGTATTGTGTCTTCTGCCTTTATTTTTAGGCTTTTGCCAGTGAAGCGGTGTTTGGTATTTTAAGTGAGACATTATACACGCTTCTACAGCTGGTGAGTGTTTTCCTGGGGAAAGAAAAACCAACAAAACCCTCACCTGTTTCATAGATGATATCAGTAAAATGGTTCTGTTTATCCATGTCTTACCTGATTTAACCTCTTCTCCTTCAGGACTGGGAGCAGAGACAGGAGGAGGATAACCTGCTGATTGAAAGGATCCTGCTGCTGGTCAGAAATGTGCTTCATGTACCTGCGGACCCTTGTGAAGAGAAGGTCTGACTTAAACCAATATTGTCATATAAGAGGCAGAGCTAAATTTGTCCAACAGTTTATTTAATATTACACTTCATCTCACCTCTCCACATTCCCTAAACTCTGCCTCTGTTGTAGAAAGTGGATGATGATGCCAGTGTCCATGACAGGCTGCTGTGGGCCATTCACATGAGCGGTTTTGATGACCTGATCAAGTTCTTGGCGTCGGCCCAGAGTGAGCAGCAGTGGAGTATGCACGTGTTGGAAATAATCTCCCTCATGTTCAGAGACCAGGTGAGACAGAAGAACCCCTTGGAGGCTCACATAATAGGTTTGCAGCTGATCTGTGTTTGAGCTCTTCTTCTTTCCTCACAGACACCAGAAGCTTTGGTGAGCGCCGGTCAGGCTCGTTCAACAGAAGAGAAGCAGCGAGACTCTCAGGAGCTGGAGGCACTGAGGCAGAAGGAGCATGCGGCGAAACGCTCTCGCACATTACAGAGAGGAACCAGGTACAATTAAGCGCATGTACAGTCACCAAGTTCTTTACTCCAGAGCCTAAATGTGTTTTTATTTTCCAACTTGGTCTGAAAAATGTCACAGAACTGCTTAATGTTATCTACAGAAAGCTTTGGTCTGTGTCATGAAATGTACAAGCAGCTCGTTTGAAGTACTGGAGCTTAAAAAATAAATGTAATATGTTCTATCTGTTTGTGTTTGTGTGTGTTTGTGTGTGTGTGTGTGTGTGTGTGTGTGTGTTGTTCTTTCAGACACTCTCGCTTCGGAGGGTCTTTCGTGGTTCAAGGCCTCAAGGCGATTGGGGACAAAGATGTGATTTATCACAGAAATATTCATAATGTGAGTTTTGAACTCTTGTAGCTCATCTGTGATACCAAACAATTGTGGCGCTGTGATGCTTGCAAAAATTATTTTAATATGAGTCTCTGTTTTTTCTTCCTTTTTTAATTTAATTTAATTTTATTTTTTTAAGTTCAAAAATTATACTCATGACGTAGGCAAAGCAGTGAGGCGGGTTCCCAAGAGGAATCGTCAGGCTCAGGAATGTAAGGACAAACGGCGCTCAGCCTTAAATGTTCGACTCTTCCTGCGAGAGTTTTGTGTGGACTTCTTGGAGAACTGCTACAATCGCCTCATGTACCTTGTCAAGGTCAGTTGCTGTAATAATAATCATTTATTTTCTCACAGTCCAAAACATCAATGACCAATAATGAAAAACCATGTAGATATTTTAAATATGAGGACAGGAATATGACAAATAAACAACTACAACAAAAACACTGGTATCACTATTGACCTATTACTATTTTAAGTATTGGTATTGGCCCAGAATTTCACAATCGGTGCATCCATACTTAGTATACAAATGGAAAATAGGACTGAAAAAGATAATATTTTAATACCTTTTATGAAACTATGCTGTGAGAAAACCTTTCAAAGAAAATGTCGGATATGCTTATGTCAAATAGGTGACTCATAATTAAATCTTTAAGTTACTCACAGCTTATTGTTCATTGTAAGTAGAATACTCTTAACACTTTGCATTTCCTCATCTCCCCCACAGGAAAGTCTAATCCGAGAGCAAACTCAGGAGCACGACGAGACATACTACCTCTGGGCGCTCAGCTTTTTCATGGCCTTCAACCGTGGCAACGGTTTCCGTGCTGACTTAGTCTCTGAGACCATGTCCGTCCGTGCTTTCCATTATATTGAGCGCAACATCACCAACTACTATGAGATGATTCTCACAGACCGCAAAGAGGCCACGTCGTGGTCACGCAGGTAAGAAGATTTTTGGTATCAGGTTAACAGAAAAATGTCAAATCTGTGCGTTGGTCCCGGACTGTTATCACTTGTTGTTTCTAGGATGCACCTGGCGCTAAAGGCATATCAGGAGCTGCTGCTGACTGTGAACGAGATGGACCGCTCACAGGATGAAACCATCCGCCAGAGTTCCAGCGTCATTAAAAGTAAGATGCTAACAGCTTTTGTTCACATAAGCTCTTTTTACACAGAGATCCCGCAATAGGGCCGCAGGAAAGATGCTTCATTATGCCAGCTTTGCTTTTTTACACATAACCAAACAACACTGACATGATGCTGCTCCAATGTGTGATTGAGGTGTGACTTCAACAGGCTATGTTTAAGTTGCTATAGAATACTCTTTTCAATTTTTAAAATTTGAATTATAGCCCTTTTTCTGGGTAACGAAGCACAACTAGAACACAAGTGTGCGTGTGTTCTCATCATTGCATAATGCTTCAATTAAACAGATATTC